GTTGGATTGGGAATTACAGAAGGGGCAGAAGAGGGAGAGAGATTAGGTTTCCAAGACCAAGATGATTTTTACGCCTTTGCTTCTCTCAGACAAGAGGGTTATTTATGTCTTTTTCTTCTATTTTCTCACTCTTCGTTCCCTTGACTACCCTTCGGGTTTCCTGATATTTACGGAATTGCCATTATCATCAATTGGATCTCTAGAGTCCAACTAGAATAATTATTTGAAGTAAGGCCCAATAACCCTAGAACAAAAAAATTGATTTTGGATTTCAAAACTGATTACTAGTTTTCTCTACCACCAAAAAATGACTGGCAAGGTCTCTGTCATCTTAAAGGACAATGGCTACATCTGTTCCAGTTCTTGTTTATAGAGTTTTCCGAGTATAAAGTTTTTCACTCGAATGACCAAAAATGTAAAATAGATTCTGTTTTCTAGTGAAAGACATCAAAACGAAACTCAAATCTAGTTTTCAACTTCTTTACTTTTGCAACATAACTTAGTTTTGTTTGGGCCGTCTCGAACTCTCCATCGTACACGTAAAAAAATCATCATCAAAACTCAATTCAAAGGTTGCTTTCAAATTTCAAAAAAAGAAAAGAAAAAGGATTCTCGTTGTAAATGTTTTTAACATTTCAAATATCGATTCATGATGTCAAATATATAAATAAAATAGGAAACAACTGAAAGTCCGTGATGAGGAAGTTGCAAGCAGAGCAGCCAAAAATGGGTTTCATCGGGTTACTCGAACATGTTTGGGAGAGGTCTCACGGCCATGAACGCATCCACCATCTGATAATCATTAATATTTTGTTAACAATTGTAAAAACCAATTAAAAAAGAATCGATTTATCAGTCTAATAAAAATTTCAGTCCCTATTTAAATCGATTTTTACCTCATCAGTAACAGCCGCTCGGGCCCTGCGGTGTCTCTCCACCATTTCTGTCAATACTTCAGTAAGTCGCTTCTTTACATCTCCTGTTAGCATTCTTCCTTCTCCATATTCCTGAAACACAGTGCAATTGGGTTTTAGCTTTTATTTCAAGATGATTCCATTAAGACAGATATGAGCATTCCTCTTTCTTGGTGATGATCTAATAACAAGCTAGTGGAAAGTGTAACGTAATTTACCTTCTTTATGTGTTCGAGTTCAGTATCATCTTCTAGAAAGAAACCCAGATATTTGACTGATATGTCTACCTGTGGAAAAAGAAGAAAAAGATTACTAGAAAAACACTTTTGAGTATAGTACTGAAACAGATAGGATTAAGCATCAAGAAAACAGTTTTTCACAAATCCGCAATTCGATAGGATTAAGTCTTTTCGAATTGTAATCTGAGGTTAGAGGTCCTTCCCATAGGATTAACGGTTGGTAGTTATCTATGCCTAAATTGGATATTACAGAGCAAGGAACAATGCTGTGAGTTTACACTACCTAGAGTAGGGTAACAGGATAGAACACGACAAGAAAATTTGGTACCTCCAGATTTGCTCCGAGTTCTCTGTGCTTTTCGATGGAGTCTTGTCCACCACTAAACGCATATCTGTTTATCTGCATATAAAAACCTCATCAAGTTAAGATGCAGGAAGCAATTACCTGGATTCCTTATTAGGATTTGAGTCTAATTTTCTTCTTTTAACGTTTTGAAACTCAGTTGCGATTATAGCAAAGTGACAGCCCTTTTCTATATCATTAAGATAGAGTTCTCGCATGTGACAGAAAGGACACAGGCATCGATCAAGCCAGATAATGAATAAGTAAGCAACAAGGTTATTACCGAAATCCAGAATTGGAATAGGAAACAAGATAATAAGAAAAACAAAACAAATTACAGAGTTTACCTTGTTTTTAATGTCCTTTGCAGTATCAGTCACATAGATAGCGGAATTTGGATCACTAGCAGACATTTTTCCATTCTCTCCCTGCGAGAAGTGACCAAGGCATTCAATAGCTGAAAAGCATGAAGGTCTGGTGTACAAGGTATAAAAGCATGCAGTAACTCTAGACTACTTAAGAAAGTACTTGCCTGCAGAGCAGGGAAAAATGAGGACTCAATCAGAGCAGGCTTGCTATAGCCTAACCGCGGCGCAACATCTCGAGTCATTCTAAAGTATGGATCCTGAACAAAACCAAAAGCAAAGATATATTACACCACACTTATATTAATTCAGAACACAAAAGCAGCAAAACATAATTATATAACATAAAAGGAACAAATTATGGATGAATTTTTAACCCATGCTTGCAAATATATCACACCATTGGGAAGACATTTATCTTCCAAAGACAAACATTAAGGTCCAAAGTAAAAAGAAACTATAAAACAGCACACCTGATCAATTGCACAAGGAATCAAACAACGGAGATTGTCCTTGCCAGGGAACAAGTGTGGGAACGAGCTAGGAAAAGATGGAACTGCCTTCAAATATATGGAAAACAATTATCCAATCAAATATAACAGACAGTCGATATGGCATTAGGAGGACAAAACCCGAGTTAACAGGAAAAAAAAGACATACCTGCACAGGAGGGAAACTGAGTTTTCCAATATGATCTTCACCGGAAAAGCCAAAGATTCCCATAGCCTAACAACGAAGGAGATAAGAGAAATGAAAACCAGGAACAGTAAGAAACTAATAGAACAGTACTGTGCTATTAAAGGAGATATAAAGCAACATCACCTTATTAAGTGTAACACACTTTGCAACCTTCACCATATTTTTATAGAAAGAACTGCACACAAAGTTTTTGCCCATCATCAGCCAGAAAAAAATGAATGTAAATATCAAAACCAAAACCAATATGGGATACAATATAAGGGACATCTTATGAGTTAAACCAATCTTCACCAAAGCGACAGGATGTTGAGCTATATGCATGTGGAATACTGGTACTAGTTTGTCCAGAGATTCAAACCAAATATGACTCACCCGCCAACATAGTCAAAGTCAGAGAAAATGAAGGTCTTTGTGATATCGAAACCGCAAGCAATAATATCTTTCGCATTTTCTCTGGCAAGTCTTTGACTTTCATCCACTGTCAAGTTCTTCCACATGCATTTTTCATCATCCGTAAGCTGTATAACAAGAGGTACCTTGAAAGCTTCTTGCAAGTATCTGCAAGCCATTTCCGTGTATTCAGGATATCATCAAAAACCACCATGGCATTAACCTTAAGGATGTGATAGGATCTCACTTACTTAGTAAACATAAAAGGAATCAAATGCCCCAAATGCAAAGCTTCTGATGAAGGTCCTCTTCCAGTGTAGAGATAGAACTTGTCTCCTCTCTCATACGCATCCAAAATCTCATTGAAATCCCTAATAATCTCACAGTTAAACCAGCAACAACAAGAATTCTACATGCCCATCTACGCAATTCAACCACATCAAGCAGAAATTAGCTGAATATCGAACCTGTGGGCGAAGAAGACACCGCGACGGAGGAATACATGTGGTTGACGAGAAGTCAGTCTCTGAACACGATCAATCAGCGACTCGTCGAGCCTCTGGCAACCAAACTGGTCAATAAGCTTATCGTAGTCGATTTTCCCGCCGTCTTTGGCGGATACTTCCCATGGATTCACCACTTGCTCCGAAGATTCAGGCTCTCTCTCATCCTTCTTATCCACCTCCATCGCGCGCTCGGGAAGAGAGAAAAAAACCTTTAAAAAACGAAGTCAGATTCGATGGAATCAAAAGCCGAATTAAAGCTGAAGATAACTAAACGGCATGGTCATCTCATCGTACCTGTGGGGTTTCCGGTGATAAGAAGGCGGCGGAGATGCGACTAGAGGGGAGGGCTAACAGAGCGAAGAAGGCAGCTGAGGTTTTTTAAGATCATTAGAATTATTAGTTATTTACTATTTGGGACTTGAAATCTTTCGTTTTTGTCAAATTGAGCTGTCATGTTTTATTTATGTCGAATCTCCTAAAATTACTACCATATTTGCTATTCAAAGTCAACAAGAGTCAATTTGCGCGTTTTAGTCAAAGTGAAGCAACAAGAGTCATGAGAATCGGACTTCCAACTTATGAGTGGTGGTCCGAGGCTCTTCACGGTGTTTCCAACGTCGGCCTAGCTACGGTTTTCAACGGTCCAGTCCCTGGTGTTACTACCTTCCCTAATGTCATCCTCATTCCACACGGCCGCATCATTCAACCGCACACTGTGGAAAAATATCGGAAAAGTATGTAGTAAGCAGAATTCATATTAATAACCTTCTTTGGGACGGAGATTTATTATTTAAATCGAAATATCCAAATATTGTCTCTGGGTACCGAAGATATTATGAGCCAAAGGTTCGAAACTCAGACGGTTTATCAAAAAAACAAAAAAAACTTATACTATTATAATGAAATATTCATGTTTTAATATGTTATTGTTACTTTAATGCCTTTGTAAAGTTATTTCAAATGAAAGGGAGATCTTGAAAATTTTGGGACGACGGACAACTTTTAAAAAATATTAAATACTATATATAAAGGAATATTAATCTTTACCATAAAAATATAAATAAGTTGTTTTTTGTATTTTGAAAATTTAAATATATTTGAAATTCGTTATATTGCGATAGGATAATGTCAATGTCAATCTTCATTGGCTAAAACCTTATCTACCATAAAGCGAATTACTTTCGTATAATGTTTTACTTTCCATGAAATTTTGTTTCCTAGACTAGGGAACTCTATCATTATGCAATTATGGACTGACAAACTAAAAGTGATCATGTCAAATCTCTCTGACTCTAAAAACCAAATGCTCTGATGTTTGTTTTGCAGTTCCAATTGCTGCAACATGAGAACTAGTTCCTATCCAGTTTCTTCTTCGAATGCCTCTCAAATCTCTAGGGAAGTTCATCAGCGTCTCTAAGGAGTGGGAATCGATAGTCCGCGAGAAAAATTTCAGCGATACTTACTTGCTCCAGTCGATGAAAAAACCTCGAGTGATGTTCGAGTTAAAACTAAACGATACGGATGTGTTGATTCACTCTGTTTATCAAGAAAATGAACCACTGTTATCGCCTGGTCAACAACAGATCTGTTTCTCTTTAAAACAAGGTTATCTCAGTTCTACACCCATCCGAGGGATCTATCTTTATGAAGGAGCTCATATTGCGCTATGCAATCCGGTTATAAAAAATTTCGGACTTTACTGGAAATTCCACCGGGTGAAAGAAAAATGGAGAGTGTATCCAGTTATTTAGGATACGATGAAGCTAAAGATGAGTTCAAGGTGTTATGCTATAAGACTTCAAAGCGTTATGGACTACATGACAGAGCTCAGGAGCATAATGTTTTGACGGTGGGAGAAGCATCTTGGAGACCGATAGTATGTGAGCATCGTCATTATCCGGAAACTAGTGCACTATGCAACAGAGGCATTTTGTACTATGGAGCTAAATTAATTCCTAATATGGATCATATTTTAATGAGTTTCGATATCTGGTCTGAAAAGTTTACTGTTATTGAGTTACCAAAGGAAGCAGCCGGCTTTCAATTTGATTTGATGACTCACGTGGTGAATTATTGTGGAGAAATTGCATTAGCGGGTTACCCGTGCGTGAGTTGTTCAAATGTGGGTTTGGAACGGGATTTCAAGAGAATGGCAGGGAAATAGTGTTGAGATTCCTAGGTGGAGAGAAATAGTTGGGGTTATGAAATTCTATTTTCAAGGTGTTATTGGTACAGGAGAACTTGTGTTCATGCTAACTCGTTTGTTTGAGGGATCATTCTTTGTGTTGGTTACAACCCAATCACACAATTTCATAAAAATTAAAATCGAAGAAGTGGTTGGAGTTTAAGACGGTCGTATATCTACCACCTTGAATCATGTCGACAATCTTTTGCTCATGTAAGGATTGTTCTGGATTGTGGGTGTGGGATTGTTCGTTTTCAAAACCTGTTTATTGGGATTGTTCGGTTTTAAACCTATGGTCGTTAATCTTTTTTTATTTATGGTAAATAAAATTCAAACCTTGAGAGATTCTGGTGACAAGACAACGGCGGATTTGCTAACTGGTACGTTTACTAAGGCGAAAAAATTAACAAAATATGGAATCAAAATTTCATTTATATAGATGTCACTATTTCCCATAAAGATTTTCCTTTTTGTCTTTCTTATGATTTTCTTTTCTTGTTTTTAAGGTCAACAGAAAATACTAAAATTCTATGGGTTACTATAGGAAAATAATATAACAATGTATTATTATGATAAAATACTATTAGTTTCTTTTGTTATAGTTTAAAAAAAAAAAAAGATAAAATACTATAGTCGTAGGATATAATCATGCGATATATTCAAATTATATTTGTAAGGAACATATGGAATTTGGGATGGGTATGAATGTTTTTGTCAGGTGTGTATCATCAAAATTTTAATTATGTTGCCAATTGTGTTATTAGTCAGAAATCATGACGAAAAAAAATTCTTAATAAGAATTCATCTATTCGCATATATCCGATCATGAAAAATTTTGTTTATCGGTGATAAAATTCGTAAAAAATGGGAACGATAAATGAGTCTATCTCTCATATACGTTGATGAAATTTGTATCTATCTAGTTTTGTGTTTATCCTTCCATCTCTCCTTCCAAAAATTTGTATCTTATCGTAACACTTTCATCTCACCTTTAATTTGCATACTGAAGCCAAAATCACACCCCTACTAATGAGTTTATTATACAAATTAACAAAAACCCTAAGAACATGTCCATTGAGGGTATCTCAATCAACCCCGATCCAAAGTTTGGAAGGGTGCAGAGAAAAAAAAAAAATTGGACTCTAAC